CTCTCTGCATCTCTCGCTTGCGATTTGATCGTAAGTTCCTTCTTCTTTGATCTGGTGGCGGAGCAGCAACATATACTACATCAACGACCGGCTGGACAAGAGGACATGGACGTACATATTTGGCGCCTGCTGCGCGACGTCAGTGTTCATACCCTCCTTCCACAACTACAGGATATGGTCCTTCCTCGGCCTCGGCATGACCACCTACACCGCCTGGTACCTCACCATCGCCGCCTTCGTCCACGGCCAGGTAAAATAGCATCATCCTCAACAACACCAGTAGTAGTAACTCTTTCCAGATGAACTGATGATCAGCTTGGAAAGACATGGTTGTCCGTCCTGTTAGTTTAACAGTATTTTGTTTTTGTTGCTGGGGAGAGAGGAGGAAGATATGACGATGGTTCAATGAATGATGCAGGTGGAAGGGGTGACGCACTCGGGCCCAACGAAGCTAGTGCTGTACTTCACCGGCGCCACCAACATACTATACACTTTCGGCGGCCACGCCGTCACCGTGTGAGTGCTCACTTTGACGTCTCTGTTTCTGTTTCCTCATTTCTCCCTGCGACGCTTTATAACTTTTCGCCCATTCTTTTTACGTTTAATGAGCACAATCGGCATGAGACTGGGAATTAAGAAAGGAAATGGGGACCAGTCGAGCATTTGATGTAATCAATAATGTTAGCGTAATTAATGTGATTTACTTGAGCTGTGCTCATGAATCAATAATAATGTTAACCTTGGGGATTCATTGTTTCATCTGTTCGTGTGTGCAGGGAGATCATGCACGCCATGTGGAAGCCGCAAAAGTTCAAGTACATCTACCTGATGGCCACGGTGTACGTGTTCACCCTCACGCTGCCGTCGGCCGCCGCCATGTACTGGTCCTTCGGTGACCAGCTCCTGACCCACTCCAACGCTTTCTCGCTGCTGCCCCATTCCGGGTGGCGCGACGCCGCCGTGATCCTCATGCTGATCCATCAGTTCATCACCTTCGGCTTCGCCTCCACCCCGCTCTACTTCGTGTGGGAGAAGGTGATCGGGATGCACGACACCAAGAGCATCTGCCTCCGCGCCCTCGTCCGCCTCCCCGTCGTCATCCCCATCTGGTTCCTGGCCATCGTCTTCCCCTTCTTTGGTCCCATTAATTCCGCCGTAGGGGCACTCCTCGTCAGCTTCACCGTCTACATCATCCCCTCCATGGCACACATGCTCACCTACCGGACGCCATCTGCGCGAAAGGTACCATCATCCCTGTTATGTTCAAGCGTTCTCTGCTTGATGCTGTCATCACCGATGCCCAGCATATCTAACGCCTGCATCTGGATGTCCCTGCAGAACGCGGCCGAGAAGCCTCCCTTCTTCTTGCCGAGCTGGACGGCGATGTACGCCGTGAACGCCTTCGTGGTGGCGTGGGTGCTGGTGGTGGGCTTCGGGCTCGGCGGCTGGGCGAGCTTGACCAACTTCGTGAAGCAGGTGGACACCTTCGGGCTGTTCGCCAAATGCTACCAATGCCCCAAGCCGCAGCAGCCACCGCCATTCTCTGCCCCCGGCCCTCAAATGCAGCACCACTGAGCCGACCAATTCCTCCACCAATCTTGCTTGTGTGTTTATCTATTTACCTGTAATTAGGCTCGCCGCCTCCTTCATTTGTGTTGAATGCTGTGCTATGGGTTTCTATCCTATCCATTTTCAGGACCATGTTATAAGTATTTGCGTCTGATGATACCACAAGGATTACCAGCTAGTCCTCACAGGACAACACTGTCATCGATGCTCGAATCGTTCTGCCCATCCGAGAATGCCAACGCTCCGCGACGGGGTTTCCGGTTCAACTCAACTCGGTGGTTGAGTTGTTCGAGGCAACCCGGTGGGTCCCATTTAGCGTCTTTTGTCCAAATGTATTGGTAATAATTAAAAGAAAATAAAACAATGAGACCATTTACCAAATATCGGATCGAACACTCAATTTCTTCTCTCGAATATTATTTAATAAAATTATGGTTTGTGTTATGGGAAACAACTTTGAGCCGTGGTCTCGGGGCCGATGCGGTTTGGTTTGGGTCCGAATAACGGGATCTCCCTGGGGCGCTCCTCGGGCCCGCTGAGGCGGTCGGGTGCGGTGTCCGATCGGAACGGTGTAGCCGTCTCCTCTGGGCAGGAACTCCTCGCCTGCGTCCGGTGGGGACCTTCGGCTTCGCACCTACACAAAGGTCGGGTCGGTAGCTCGACCCGACTCTGACGATCAAGTTAGTGATGTGGAGTGGAGTGGAGTGGTTCGGTCCTCCCTTTCCTCTTCTCCTGCGAGGATATTTATAGGGGAGTTTACTGTTACCTGATGTGCCCGCTTGCAGGGGGCAAGTAGCGTCTGACACTGCCATTAACGTGAAGGACTGAGCTTAAGTAGGTCGTTAATACGCCTCGACCGACGTGTCGGTCAGTTTGACCATGTGCTGTCGCGTCATGAGACATCATATGAGGTAGCTGACGTCAGCCCGGGTCTTATCATAATTATTATCCTCATCAGTTTGTAATTATATCCCACCAATTAAGTGCCTAAAAAACATGGCAGCGTCATTGTTCCCCCTTTTTTTTGGTGTTAAATGTATGGGGTGCTCGTCAGGCGTTTGATCATTTGACGAGGTGAAGGTGCGCGGAACCAACGGGCTCAAATATTCTTTTGTTCGTTGAACACGATCTCGAGACCGTGGCTTGCAAGACACCGACCAAGACGTCAGCAGGTCTAAAAGCAGGACAACATGCCATGGCATCCTTACAGGGTTGTGCCCAGCATCACCGCCCCTCCGCCCGTTCATGTCAATCTTATGAATCCCGATTCAGCGAGGCATCTTCCCTTCACCTTCTCTTAGCAGCGAGAGTTGCTATAAATACCTGCCTCCGGTTGTTGCAGTTAGCAAGCAAAGAGAGCCTGAGAATAAGTAGTGACGAGAGATGGGAGGTGGAGTCTTCGCTCTCCTTGGCTTCAAGAAGCAGCAGAGGAGGGGCCATGAGTCGGCGGCACAGCCGGGGCACCGGCAGAAAGGCCATGAAGCCGCGCAGTCTCGGCCGAGGCAGCTCTCTAGAAAGAGTTACGAGGAGGAAATGGAACCGTGGCAGCGGAAGGTTCGCCGGACCGACGAAGACCATGGCCGTTGGGTTTCTGGGCTCGACGTCGACAGGAAGGCCGAAGAATTCATCGACAGATTCCACAAGAAGATGAACCCTGATCACGGGCTGGAAGCTATCTAGCCACTGTTGGCTGCTACTTCTCAAGCATCGCATGGACTTGAGCTACTCCTTTTTGGTAAGGGGGTGATTAGAGAAAACTGTGAATGATGTACGAATCGAAGCGACGTAACAAAGATGATGCATGCGAATGTTCCGAGACTTACCGAGTAGAAATCAGACTTGAAATGTGGTCAAAATCATCAAAAGAAAATTGACCAGTGTTGTAAAGGATAGACAAGAGAGCGATCATATTCACCCATAATTTGTTGCTCATATAAGGAATAACCATCATATTTACACATAAAAGAAGATATGACAAAACATATTTATGTTTAACAGAAGATGGAAATATGTTGGGAGGGAGAGGAGTGAACATTTCCAAAAACATAAAAAAATCATAAAAATAAATATTAAAAAATATATTAAAAGTTTGATATAAGATTTAATATGATTTCATACATATATTCATTAATAAGATTAATTTCTTTACTATATGAGATTAAGTATAAGACTCTTGAGTTATTCGCATTAATATGTATCTTTTTACATAAATCTCGAGAAATTTATATATTTTTCATTCTTTTTTATTTTTCCTATAGAGAATTCAAGATATTTCTCACATATTTTTTTTCAAAATTTAAAGATATACGAGATATTTATAAAAAAACTAAATCATAGTTTTTAAGATTTAGGATTTTTTTCTCTCATATAATGATTTCTTATTCTCCTAAAATAGGAATTCTAAACTGCATATCAATATAAGAAAAATAGAATATAATCTGTAGGTTGCTGCTTGAGGATTATATAATTCCAGCATAAATATTTATTGACCTTTCAAATAACGAGGTTAGAAACAATTTTTCTAATAGTTTATCATTTATTGATTTTTTTTATTTGTATGTTTTCTTTTAATTTGGTATTAGCTTTTTGGTTGGTCTCATTCAAATTTTAAAATTATTTTTTTGATTAATCTTATTATTCATTCAAATTATTATTTTTATCTAAAAAGTCTTTATATGATCCAAAAACATTTACCCTCGGGTTGATTAAACTCTTGTAAATCAAAGTTTTCTTTTTTTCTTCTTCTATTGACGACGTGAGATCAAATTGAGGTGTTATAATTTTTATTTGATAATTTCATATATTCATAACCACAATGAAAACACATATTTGAAATAAAAAAAAAAATTTAATCTTTTTTTAATAGTGGGATGGGATGGATTGTGGTGGTTTTTACCGTAAAACTCACGTTGGTGACTGCCAGAGAAACGTGGTGAAATTTTTTGGGCGAATGAGACTCCATCGTTACCCATAAGTGTGAATGAATGCACCATTTCAGTGGCATAGTCAATAAAGTCAATTTGAGTCGTTGCTCAGTCAACGCCAACGATGACCGTAGACTTCGCTTTGAACCCACCCCCACCGAAAAGAAGGCAAATTTGGACGCGCACCCACCTCCTCGAGGAGCAGATCCAGCGTGCCTCGATCGGGGACGCGACAGCATTCCCCTCACTCGCAACATTCCAAGTCAGGTGGCGTTGGCCCACGAAATCCCCGTCTTCCCTGTCTCACACTCTTTACCCCCCGTTGTAAGCCATCGTCGAGTCCTCGTCGGCTGCCCAAGTCCAGGTCTGCCACTGACACCACCCAAAGTCAAGCTTCACTCGACCCGGATCAACCGAACCCACCGAGTTGAGCTGCAGTCGCACGGTGCACAACCGATATATTTTCGCCGGTTCTCGTCTTCGAACTTCATCATCGCTCAGCGGGTGGCCGCCTCGGAGTTGCTCCTTCTTCGAATGGCAATGCAGCTCCCACGAGCGCTCACCTCCCACGTCTGTTTCCACCACATCCTTCTCCTCCTGTTGCTTCAGCCTCTTCTCCTGCGTCGCACAGCTTCAGCAACCGAACCCGATCGGGTCGCCCTGCTTGCCTTCAGGGCGGCCATCACCAAAGACCCCAGCGGCATCTTGCACTCGTGGAACAACAGTCGCCACTTCTGCCGATGGTCGGGCGTGACATGCGACGATCCCGACCACCGTGAGAGGGTCACCACCTTGGCCTTGGAATTCATGAGCCTCCGAGGGGTCATCTCCCCTTCCATCGGCAACCTTACCTACCTTGGCTACCTGCTACTCTCAAACAATAGCTTTTATGGTGAGATACCCCCGGAGATCAGTCGTTTGGCCCAGCTCAAGGACCTCAATCTGAGCTACAACGCCTTGAACGGCACCGTTCCTGTTAGTCTTGGCCTCTGCACCAACCTCCTAGGCATCGACTTCACTGGCAATCTCATCTCTGGAAACATTCCCGCACAGCTCGGTTCTCTTCTTAAGCTTCTTGTGTTGAACCTCGGGCTTAACAAGCTCGTCGGCGACATCACGCCTTTCCTGGGAAATCTTTCGTCCCTCTTACAACTTGATCTGTCGAGCAACAAGCTCACTGGAGAGATACCATCTTCCTTGGGAAAACTTTCCAATCTCACCTATCTTGATCTCTCAGCCAACATGATAGTTGGTGGCATACCGCCGTCACTTGGGAAACTCTCTTCCATCGGCATGCTCAATCTCGCAGGCAATGCCCTCAGTGGAGCCATCCCACCGAATATGGCAAACCTCTTGACCCTTGGGTTTCTGGATCTATCAAACAACAGCCTTTCTGGAGAGATTCCTCCATTGTTGGGTAGAATCGTTCCACTCCAGATCCTCCTTCTCAACAATAACAATCTCACAGGAAGCTTGCCGAATTCCTTGGGGAACCTTGCATCTCTAAGTTACCTCGATCTCTCTAAAAATAGTCTCAGTGGGTCGATTCCTCCCTCCATCACAAACCTGTCATCTCTTCAAGTTCTGGATTTGTCATTCAACAATCTCGTAGGGAGACTTCCAGAGGAAATAGGCCTTCTCACGAGCCTTGAGTTCTTCCAGGTGTCTGTGAATGGACTCTCTGGGCCTGTTCCTTTATCGCTCTATAGCATATCTTCTCTGCAAACGCTGAGCATGGCGTATAACCAGCTGTCAGGGACACTCCCACTAGATATAGGCGACACTCTACCCAATCTTAGCTTTCTCGGCATGGCCAGCAACCGGCTCGAGGGACAAATTCCATGGTCATTGGCTAACGCTACGTCGCTTCGACAAATCGACCTCAGCCGCAACAATTTCAGCGGTCGAATTCCTGCCAACCTCGGGAACCTACCATATCTCAAGCAGGTTTCTCTAGGGAACAACAGCCTCGAAGCCAGAGACGCCGAAGACTGGGAGTTCATCTCTTCCTTGACAAACTGCAGCCAACTGGAGGAACTAAGCCTGATCGAAAATGATCTCGGAGGTGTGCTTCCCGCCTCCATTGCCAATCTCTCGATCCAGCTCAAGAGCCTGACGCTCGGCCGCAACCATATCTCTGGATCTTTTCCTCCCGGCATCAGGAATTTTGTCAACCTGGTTACGCTGAGTTTGAATGAGAACCACTTCGCTGGGAGTATTCCTGACTACCTCGGAGAACTCGTCAACCTGGAAGCTCTGATCTTGTATGGCAACAAGTTCTCGAGTAACATCCCATCCTCACTCGGCAAATTGACTCGATTGAATGAGCTTGTATTGTTCGACAACGACTTGGGAGGCAGCATCCCGGTGAGTCTTGGGAATTGCCAGAATCTGAATTTTTTAGATCTCTCTGGCAATCGCCTGAGCGGATCCATCCCAATAGAAGTGCTTAGCATCGGATCCTTGTCGAGCTATCTCGACTTGTCCAACAATCAATTGAACGGAACTCTACCACCGGAGGTCGGCAAGTTGCGCAACATGCCCTTTTTATCTGTCGCCATCAACAGGCTTTCGGGAGGCATTCCAACGACTTTAGGTGATTGTCAAGTGCTGGAGTCCCTCAATTTGAGTAGAAATTTCTTCCAAGGAAGCATTCCTACATCGCTGAGCAACCTGAAAGGCATCAAAAGGTTGGATCTTTCATCCAATAACTTGTCTGGTTCCTTCCCAGGTTTTCTAGCAGGCTTGCCTGACCTGCAACTTCTGAATCTATCTTTCAATGATCTCAACGGTGAAGTGCCGGTAGATAAAATTTTCGGCAATTCTAGCGAGTTTTATGTCGTCGGAAACCACAAACTCTGTGGGGGTATCTCAAGTTTGCATTTGCCTTCCTGCTCAACTCAGTCATCCAAGAAGAACAGGTCGCTTATTCTTGAAATAACCTTGCCGATCGTAGTTTTACTCTTACTATTTGCTCTGTTTATGACCTGCTGTTACGCGAGAAAGCACAAGAAACTTGGTTTACCTGCAAAAGTTTTAGAAAATGTTCCAACAAGATTGTCTTATCTCGAGTTGATGAAAGCAACCGATGACTTCTCCTCCGAGAATTTGATTGGCGTTGGAAGCTACGGTTCGGTGTACAGAGGGGTTTTGGGTGATGGCAAAACTCTCGTAGCGATCAAGGTACTGAACCTGGTTCAGCGAGGCGCTTTCAAGGCTTTCGTCGCAGAGTGTGAAGCTTTAAGAAGCATTCGACACCGAAACCTGGTCAAGATCTTGACAACCTGCTCGAGTGTGGATCTTAGAGGTAATGAATTCAGAGCTATCGTGTTTGATTTCATGCCTAATGGGAGCTTGGAGAGTTGGTTGCATTCAGACACAGACAACAAGATGTACTTCAAGCGATTAGGTCTGCTTCGGAGACTTGACATAGCAATCGATGTTGCTGCTGCGGTGAGCTATCTTCATGATCACTGCGAGACGCCAATCATCCACTGTGATCTGAAGCCAAGCAATGTTCTTCTTGATGGCGACATGACTGGCCGTGTGGGAGATTTTGGCCTAGCGAGATTCCTCTCCAATGGCACCGACCGATATCTATCTTCTTCTGTAGCTATGAAAGGTTCCATTGGCTATATGGCTCCAGGTAAACCTTTGAATTAGAAGTTGTTCTCCAAAGTGTGCAGTCTTCTCATTCATCTGCTCGGGACATATAAGAGTATATGGTTTAACGTGTGAGTTAAATGCAGAATACGGGATGGGCGGGCAGGTTTCGACTCATGCTGATGTCTACAGCTACGGAGTGCTGCTGCTGGAGCTGTTCACCGGGAGGAGGCCTACCGACGACATGTTTAAGGACGGTCTCACCCTCCAAAAGCACGTCGAGGGAGCCTTTACGAAGGGAGCTCAAGTCACCGGCATTGCCGATCCATCACTATTCTCAGACGAAGAAGAAGGTGAAGACACTTCTGTTCTCAGGACCGGAAGTCAAGCGAGTGAAAGGATAACAAGATGCTTAGAATCGGTGCTCATGGTTGGTCTCTGCTGTGCCAAGGAGTCGCCGAGAGAGCGCATCACAATCAAGGATGCTGTGACCAGAGTAGAGACGATCAAGAGTCTGCTGCACACCACCAAAATGTAGTCTTGGATTGGTATTTACTGTCGTAGTTGTTAAGTTCAGATCATACGACACTTCATGTTTAATTCGCTTATTTTGAGAAGGAGGGCAGTGTGTTTCTTCTGCTTCCTCTGTTCTGTCAGTTTATGTTGTTATTTCTGTACTCTAAGAAATTAAAGAATGTTAGTACGAATCATTCGTAATGTTGATTCCAGTGAAGGTCGAGACAAAAATGGTGTAGATTAAAACATTATTTCCAATTCACAGTTCACCAATTAAGATTTGATTTACCGCTAAAAAAAACTTTAGTTTTACGTACTATTTGTTTGAATAAATAAAAAAAAAACCCTTAAGTTTTCAATTTTTCCTATAGATGTTATTTTTTTTATTCTCATAAAACATCTATTATTTTTGAAAAATAATATTATATTTAATTCCGTCATAGTCCACCCGGAAGTGGCTGAATCTGTCCTGCTACCTCTCCTGCTACCTCTGTCACTTATAATTATCCCCTTTGTCACATCCTTGTGAATGTCACTAAGGCCCACAAAATATCCTCCTCCCTCGTTGCCAAACCCACCATGCTAGCATTTCTCCCATCACTAACATTGATTTCATTCATGTTAGTCATTGTGCTACTCTATTATAAATGGGTTATAAGCGACATAGACCCGCATAAAGTCATCCACAGAGATACCCATATGATCGATTTATGGTTTAGGGTTTAGGTTCAAGGTTTAAGGTTAAAGGTTCAGGATTTAGGGTTTACAGTTTAGAGTCTAGGTTTAAGGTATCAGATTCTGTGTTCAAGATTTATGATTTAGGGTTCATGGTTCATGGTTCAAGGTTTCAGATTTCATTTTAGGGTTTACGGTTTCTAATTTAGGGTTTAGTGTTATGGGATTAGGGTTTAGGGTTTAGGTTTTAAGGTTTAGGATTTAGGATTTGAGGTTTGGGGTTTAAATATTATGGATTATTTCTAATTTTACATCAAAAATTTATTAAAAATTGATAGATATATATTAATATTAATTTAGACTTAAATATGTTAGAATAGTGGTGACAAAGGTATGATGACGTGATTGACACCTTCGCATTAGGTGATCGACATTCTTGCATTAGATAGCCAACACCTTGGTGCCAAATGATCGATTCCCGACACTAAGTGGTGTTAGGATCGTTTCGGCACGAGGAGGAGGAGGAGGAGGAGGAGGGGGAGGTTTTAAATTAGTACTTTTATAAAAACGTCCGTTTGAAAACTTTCGTTTAATAAAATCATATTAGAAATATATTTAACTTAAAAGTGTTCGTAAGCGTAGTGAGCAAGTAAGAGTAGTAGATAATTAAATCATCAAGTAATAATAATGAAAAGCGGAAAGTAAATACAAACCGATTTTATAGTGGTTCGGTTGTCGTGACTTATGTCCACTCCCGATTCCTCTTCCATCGAGGCTATCGGTTTTCACTACCGATCTTTTAATGAGCGAAGATCAACTACCCTCTTGCAACTCTTTTTTCTTTCACAGATTCAGGAGAGAACCTTTATACCTCTTTTTTAGACCTCACTCATCATTTAGAAAACTTCTAATTTTAGGAGGAAGAGACTTACTAACTAAAGAGAAATTATATAATTTTTTCTTAAGGATTTTTTCTCCCTTTCTACTCTATTTCTTGCTCACCCAAGCATGAATTAGTGGGGTATTTATAGACCCCAAATTACTTCAAAAAATAGAGCCAAAATTTAAATCCTCGATATTTCGAGGTACTAGCGGTACCAACACCTACAACACTGACATTGGGCGGTACCATCGCTTGACACTAGCGGTACTATCGTCAGGCTTTTTGGAAGAAGTGTATTTCATACTTTTCTAGCTCATAAGTGGTTCTACCACATGACCCAACTTTGGGTCACTGAATAAGCATCCTAATAAGCCTAACTCAACCTCAATTCAGGCCCAATATGCCCTTAATTGAGTCGACATAGTTATACTCAAAGATAACTAAACTATTTCGATCTAAACACACATGGTTACAAGACAAAAATGCTATGTTGTACAACATATCATTGGTTCATTCGACGCTTTGTCATCTCCTTCGGTGTATTACTCAATCAGCATGTTGACTTTCCGCAACATCCAATCTCCTTGGTGCAATGTCCAGTCCTTCAATCCGATGCCTGAACTCATGGCACGAAATCCTTTTGGCATGTCGACCAATCCTCTGGTCTCACATCCAATCTTCTGACATGTTCCACTCCGCCCCAATGTATGATTCTTCCTGATTCAATCAAATTGTCTTTCAATGATCGAAGTTAGTCCAGTATCACTTAAACGCACATTAGATCATAATTTCATCATCAAAATTTGAGATTCAACAAGTGGTTGACACATAATCAACATCTTTCCCTTCATAGTTAGCATCGTGTGGCAGAACAAGTCGAACGTTATGTACCCAAGATTTGATTTACCACTAAAAAAAATAGTTTTACATATTATTTCTTAGGATAAATTTTAAAAAAATCTCAAGATTTCAATTTTTCCCATAGATGTTATTTTTTTATTCTAATATGCCTTGCCACCTCTACCATTTATAATTATCCCCTCTATTATATCCTTATGAAGACTATTAAGGCCCACAAAATATCCTTGCCCTCATTGTTAAACCCACCATGCTAGCCTCCTCTGTCTCGTTGTTGCTTCACTAGTAGCTTCTCCCCCATCACTTATACTTATTTCATTCGGGATAGTCATTATGCTACCATATTGTAAAGGAGGTTATAAGTAGTATATACCAACAAGAAGTCATCCACGAAAGTACTCTTGTGATCGATTTAGGGTTTATGGTTTAGGGTTTAGGTACGGGGTTTAAGGTTCAAGGTTTAGGGTTTAGTGTTCAAGTTTTAGGGTTCAAAGTTTAGAGTTTAGAGTTTAGGGCCTAGGTTTAAGGTATATTGTCACGCCCCCTGAATTTAACTCTCATTCAGGAGGTATGAACCTAACTCAAAATTGATAATATTATAATTCAACAAATAATCCAGGATCCAAACATACATTTGAGGATACTAAGAAAACATTTAAGTCATTCACATCCATAATTTCACAATTCATAAAACTTGCACAATTTAAAATCATGTACCACATCACTCGATGAATCATAAAATCTGAAGCTAACTTACCAAGACAATAACCACATCATAAATCCACAAGTGTGGTATTCTATACAATCACAAAACCAATATTTACCACATGTTCATATCATTATATAAATTAAACTTAACACTCCAAAATCCTAAACATTACAAAACTTTTACAAAACTTATAAATTCATATTTATCATAAACATTCCATTATATACCAAGTATGCTTATACAACAAAAACATATCATCTAATAAAGGTTTGCCTAAAATCTTCTAGCTTTCCACTGCCTTAGCCCAATTTAAATATTTTAGTAAGCGACAAGCTATCCTGAAAAAAAATTATTAGTAACGGAGTGAGAACATAGAGCTCAGTAAGCGACTAACATATCCATGATGAAAGAGGACAGTTTCAAACAAATAAAGTTTCAAAATACAAGGAAGAGATATAAGAGTTCATAGATAGCTACTCAATGAATGCAGAATTAAAATGTCATTTCATTCGAAACATATTTTATTCATAGCAAAGGAGTAAGATTAGTTGGAGCATATCATTGACATAAGGAGCATTTTGGATATCAATAGCATATGAAATGTTTCGGATTATATCAATAACAAATGAAACATTTCGGAATATATCAAAGAACATATACGAAACAAAAACTCAATGTCGCATTTGACATTGCATAATTTTCATTATTATCTAAAGCACACATAGAAGAATATAATCAAAGTTCTGGATATCATATCAAACGGATAGAAGGTGAAGTAGGATCCCAAATATAATCTCTCATATTTGGGAGTGTCATCCATCCATGTTTGGATAAAGCTAGAGGGGGCCAGCAAAGCATCACAGGCTCTAAGTGTATACCCTTTACCATTTCTGGCAAAGGTCCAGATAATTTTTTTTATCACTTTTGGTAAAGGTCTAAATAATCCCACAAACACCAGAGTATAAAAGGGGCATTGTGAATAATAAAATTAGGACATATCGGAAACACATGCAGAACAACGGAATGCATGTGCCTATACGAAACATTACAATATAAACATGAACTTTATATAATAAAATCATGTATACAAATAATTAAAGGATAAGAGTATATAAAAATTTTAGGCAATTATGTAAAGCTCAACTAAAGTAATAGTTTTTTTTTTTTTTGCTGAAATCAATTTTCAAAGAGAAGAAACAATAAGAGGCAAAATCGATCAAAGCTCAATTTTGACAGAATTTGAGAGGCAGATTTTATGAATTATTTGTATAACCAATTATACTCTAATTTATACAAATAGGTGTCATTCGAAAGATGTTTAATCTAGTTTTAGGTAAATAAGTTTTGCATGAATTGAAGTTTACAACAGGGAGTTACAAATAATTTTATAGCAAAATGTCTAAAAACATTAACTCCGTTTTACTAAATCCATAGGGTCAATGAAAATAGATGTTTCAGTTTGTAATTGTATTCTAAAAATTTCAAATCAGATAAGCACAAAAAGAATTTTGAGTTTAGTTTTCAATAAATATACTTTTCATGAATTTGAGTTCCCAGTAAAAAATTATAAGTAATGAAGCAACAAAAGGTGAGAAATTACACTCCATATTTTGTAGAATATATAGGGTTAAATGAAATAGAAGACTGAGTAAGCATTTAAATTCCAAATTATTCAATCTAGGTATCAAAATAAAGATCTTTGAGTCTACTTTCAAATGGATTAGACTTTGACTAAATCAGAGTTTAGTACTAAAAGTTAGGTCTGAAAAAATACATAGAGGTCATATTATCAAAAAATTACATATTCATAACTTTGTATCAAAACGAAAAAAAAAGTCCGGTGCCAAGTTGAAATCTTTCGAATTATATAGAATTAAAATAAAAACAGAGATTAAGATTATTACGAGATGGGATTAGAATACTTGTCTTAGAAAAGTTTGATTCCCAAATGTGGGAAAATTGATGCAAAACTTCAAGACAAAGTTTCTTCTTCTTCTTATTCTTTAATTCCTCTTCCCTTCTCTTCTCAAACTCATGCTGGTTGCAGCAACTATCTCTCTTTTGTTA